AAATAGGCGACGGTGGAGAAAAATAACTTCAAATTAGAAAACAAAAAAAAAAAGATTATTATCGAGTATATAGCAATAATTATAAATGAAGTCGAGCGCGCTTAAATGAAAAAACAATATTTTCTGTTTTAATATATTTTTTTAATATACAAATAAATAATAAATTCCCGCTCTTTTCATCGATTCTCAAGGAAAACAACTATAGTTGACGAGAAGTGTTTCAGTATACAGATGATGCGTCAGGTAACAAAGCTAAAGGTTTACGCGAGTTCCACATTTCAGCTCCGCAGGAGCTGCGCTAACAAGCTTTTTCTAATTCCTTTTATTTTTCACAAAAAAAAGAAATTATGTTTTTTGTCTAAAAGTGCTGAATAATTTACATACTGTGTTGCCCACTGTGTATTATATCATAACAATTAATAATCATAATAGATTATAGAAACGAGTTCGTAATGGAATTTTTGTTTCACAGTTGATGATTAATCATTGAATTTATATTAATTTTAACTCTTATTGTATAAAAAAAGAAACCAAAGAAAAGAAACTAAATATCTATTATTTAGATATGCTTCTTGTTATAATCGCAGCAGCATTAATTATTGGTATAACAGTATGTTATTTAAGAAGTATTACAATAGCTTTAATGATTGTTATTGGTGCTGCATTATCACTTGGTGTTAGTTATTTTGTATATCGTGTAATTTATAATATACCAATATTTCCATTTATGAATTTAATGTCTGCATTTATATTAATTGGTATTGGTTGTGATGATATATTTGTATTTTTTGATACATGGGATCAAGAAAAAATAGAATGGTTAAGAAAATATCAAGATAAACAACCATCTGATAGTAAATTTCTTTTTTTTTTAAATTTTTGGTTTCATTTATTTTAATAGATTATTTATTTCATGAATTTAGATGAAGATATTTTATTAAATCATACAAATACACATGATGGTGTACCTTCAAATCAAAAAGTAAAACCAAGTAAATTAAAACGACCATCAAATGCATTTCAATCTCGTCATCGATTATGTTTATTTAAAAATCCTGAAGAAATTCGTAAATTATTATTACATGAAGAAGCATTAATAGAAATCATGTCTAATACATTAAAACATGCTGGTTCATCCATGTTTGTTACATCATTTACAACAGCAGCGGCTTTTTTTACAAATATGCTAACAAATATATCATTTGTACAAGTATTTGGAGTTTTTACTGGAACATGTATTTTACTTTATTTTGTTATTACAGTTACTGCCATTGCTGCTTTTGCTGTAAGTTAAATCATATTTTGAATGTTTAAGAGACAAAAAAAAAAACAACGTTTGATGAATAATTGTTATTATTATGGTTTTTGTTTTTCATATTGAAGGTTATTTATGAAAAATATATTCAAGATATAATGACTCGTGTATTTTCAATATGTTGTGCTGATGCTGTTAAGAAATCATCAAATAGTGCAGCATCAAAATTATGTCGTCGTTGTTCATTAACTTGTAAAGATTTTCGAAATTATCTTTTTGGTCATCTTATACCATCACTTATTATTAATCTACGTTATGTTTTCGTTTTACTTTTTTTTCTTCTGGGTATTTTAGGTTAGATAATTTTCTTTCTAAATTTTTAAAAATAAATTCAATTTTTTTTGTTAATTTATTTCTCTAGGTCTTGTTGCTGTTTTCTATTATCCTAAATTACAAGTACCATCAACACAAAAAGTTGCTTTCTTCTTAAAAGATAATCCAATGGAAATCTATGAATTTTCAATGAAAACTCAATTTAATGGTTATTCAAAAGAAGATAAACGTTTATTTGCTTATCCAGCTGTTTCATTTATATTTGGTATACGTGATATTGATGATGGTTATATATTTGATATGAATGATCGTGGTCATTTATATTTAATGCCAATTCATTTAAATCAACATAATACACTTGAATTTTTTAAAAATTTTATAACACATTTAGGAACGCGAAAAGATTTATTTACTTCAAATTATGATTTAGAAAAAGATTTTGAATCATTTTATCAGGTAAATATTTTTTCTTTTGCTTTAACTAATTGATTAATTGTTTTTTTTTGTTTTTTGTTCGATAGCTTACAACAGATAATATTTTAATAACTAAAGTTGCTGATGATCGAGCTAAATTAAATGTATCAAAAACAAGTCATATAAATATGATTAAATATATAAGAAAAGTAAATAAAAGTTTAATAGATAATTTAATTTCGGATACAGTACGTACAATTGATTATAAAATTGAAAATGATCAATCTAATCATGACGATTACATTGAAAGAAAATTTGATCAAATTAATTTAACTGTATATAAAATAAATAAAAAATAAAAAAGAAAAGAAAAAACTCGCTTTAAACTGACCTGTNAAAGTAAATAAAAGTTTAATAGATAATTTAATTTCGGATACAGTACGTACAATTGATTATAAAATTGAAAATGATCAATCTAATCATGACGATTACATTGAAAGAAAATTTGATAAAATTAATTTAACTTTATATAAAATAAGTAATAAACAATTAAAAAGTCCATCAAATCCGGTGATTATTTATTCAAATTATCGAAAATTATTTAATAGAACATTAGAAAGAATTTATAAAGAACAGGTCAGTTTAAAGCGAGATTTTTCTTTTCTTTTTCATTTTTTATTTATTATAATGAATAATCATAGATTCAACATAGTTATGATTTTAATGAAATTCGAATATCTATGAAAGGTACATTACGTGATACATTAACTGAAGAATATCAATGTTCAGCATTGAAAACAGCTATGCAGTGTTTAACAGGTGCAGCCGGTGCTAATAATGTACCAGCTGATTTTTGTGATAAACAACTTACTAAACAACGATCATTTAATTGGGCAGTTTTACCTGATAAACCATCGCCAATTGATGGAAGTGTTCGACCATTTGCAGTTATGATTACTATTCGAGGTGAGAGATCTTGAAAGAAACAATTAGACTTATGATCTCATGCAAAAGTATCGATTTTCTCTACTAACGACTGAAGTCTTTCCATTAACAAATCGATTTTGAGTCGAGGTTATGTGCATTATATATCGACCTACATGAGCTACGAATATTCTGAAAAGAGTTCGTTTTATTAACTTTTTGCTATGAAGATATTGCACCCTTACGGTATTATTTAGCACAATGCCATGATCCCGTTAGGAACACTAAGCAAGTTCGTTTTCGAATTTTCGACTTGAAACTTTACATATAAACAGGTTTTTCTGAGAATAGTTTGTTGTGAAAGTATGATGTCTTTTGATTTGCTTCTATTCTGAAACAAGAACATCAGATCTGTTGGATTATACAATCAATGTAAAAAACAAGCTATTATCAGTGCTGTATCTTAGCATAGAAACAACGACAAGATCTGAAACATTTACAAAAATTTATTCTCGTTAAGTCTTGTCTTTATGCAAAGTCTTCAAGTCAATATCTCTACAGCAATGAGTTAAAGAAACGAACTCTTGTCAGGATATTCATCGCTCATTTGAGTCTGTATAATGCGTATAGTCTCAAATCAGAAGTGATTAATTAATTGAAGAACTTTCCTTGTAAGAAAAACATCGGTTAATTTGTCCAATGTCTGACTACATACATTTTAGAGCGAGAAAAAAAATCATATTTTTTAACACGCATATTTAATTACTCATTAAAAATCTTGAGTAAATTACTTTTCATTTAATATGAAATTCATTTCTAGATGTGTAATAAATTTGGTTTCGGCTAGAGATGTGTGAAACCAAGTTTCTTTTTACTACGATCTGCAATTACAGTTCGGACAAATTTTTACCTTGTAGTTCAAGTTCGATGATGCGAAACTCATTAAGATATTGCTCTCATTCATAAGCCTGAATTCTCTTTTGTAATATATTGATGAACTATTTGACTTTTGTCCTATACATCACAATGTGTTATTACATCGTTCATACCGTATAATTAACCTTATTGACTGTCCTTAATAACTCAGACAGTGTTCATTAGTTTTAATTTTATTTCCGACATTCATGTTACATTGATGAAATCTTTTATTAGAGTTTTGAGTATCGAAATATCCTATATGTTTTTATATACATTAACTACTATATTTTTGTTTTCAAGATTTTTATTTTATCGAAAAAAATATATTTCTTATTTGTTTAAGGTGCTCACAATCGTACGGAGTATGATTCTTACAATAAATATTATCTCCAAATAAAAAATTTCTTTGATCCATATATAAAACAATATGCACCAGAACATTTAAAGCATGCTTGGTTTTCTTCGCCAGGTTTTGCATTTTATGGTATTCAACGTGAATTACTAGTTGGCTCGTATACCTCTCTTCTAGCATCACTTGGCATTGCTTTATTAGTACTATTTCTTACATCCGGCAATTTATTTATTGCAGTCTATGCATTATTTACTATTACTTTTGCTATTGGTAAGCATCTATTGGTTTTCTGTGAAACACGATCAGCAAGGAGTATTGAAATATAGATATAGAAACCCCTCCCCACAGATCGCGAGAAACACCCGATGAACTAGGCAGCCGCGGTATCGCATATTTGTGAACCGAAATCCGATTTTTTTTCCACCAATATCTGGCACCCTCTGTGTACATGAACAAATGAAGGATTACTCTTGTTATTATTTATTGGCTACTTTCAGAAAAAAAGTTAACGTACAGTCATTTCTTGTTATTCACTTTCCCGTCACTCGATGGTTAATATATATATTAAACGTTTTTGCTTAGTTGAAAAGAGTATTATCTTTAAAAAAAAAGATACTGAACAGTTAATTAATAAAGAAAATTCGTCAAACCAACAGTAATACCAAAATCTTCACTTTTATGCAATAGTCTTTATTGTATTTATGTAAACCAAATCAACTAAGAATATGTTCTAAGCAATCAATGTGAAGATTTACTTATTTATAAATCATATTTGGGTACTAATTCACTATCCAAACACACTTGCAATTGTCAAAATATTCAGAAAAATCAAGTTTCTAATGCTTTCACAAATATAAATCAGTTTTATGCATTTCCAAAAAACGAACCAGCTATTCCAGATCAAGCTGAAGAAGAAATTAAAGTTGTTTGTGTTAAATTTGCAGAACTTGACTGTCAACCGTTCAAAACAAATAATGATATCAGCTTTAAAAATCTTGCACAAAACAAATTTTCCATACTGACCGATACTTACAGGGTATTTCGGATCCAAGTTTTTATGGACCGAATCCGTGTCCGGATCCATGGTCTGGATGGATTCGCAGCTCCCCACTGAGTACCCATCATAGACCATGACAGACTCTGTTAATATACTATCAATAATGTCTCTTTACTACTTCTTTATTGCATTTATGGAGGATTAAGTAAAAAATGATGAGGAAATGTATCCTAAACTAGACAGAATAAAGTAATCTTTCAGTGATTGGGAAGATCAGCTACCTTATATTTTAATCCTACAAGATCTGTGTTAAGAGCTTTTTTTTTTTTTTTATTAGAATATTGTTTGTAAAATAAATTCATTCTCTTTAGCTGTTAGTGTTGGTATATTTGCTGTATTAGAATGGGAATTAGGCATTGTTGAAGCTATTATTGTTATTATGTCTGTTGGTCTATCAGTAGATTTTGTTGTTCATTTTGGTGTTGGTTATATTCATACAGATTCAAAAGATATTGATAATGAAAGAAAAAAAGTTGAAAATTTTTATTTATTACCAACACCTATATCCAATGAAAATGATCATGATTATAGTAAGTTTTTTTCTAGTATAGTAAAAAAGAATGTACTAAGATTTTTCTATTTAGAAAAAAGCAATTGGCGTGTTATGTATAAAGAACAACAAGTTGAACGTGAAACACGTGTAACAGAATCGGTATCACGTGTTGGTTCGGCTGTATTCATGGCTGCTTTTACAACATTTGCTGCTGGATTTTCAATGACACTTTCATCACTTTGTGCATTTCGACAAATGGGACAATTTTTAATGACAATAAGTATGTTTAAAAAAAATAATTATTCTTAATTTTGAGTTCGTTGGTTTTTGTTTTTAGTGTTAACATCATGGGGTTTTGCAATGTTTTTCTTTTTACCATTATGTGCTATTATAGGTCCAGTTGGTACTTGTGGTTCAATTCCATTTTCACGAATTATTCAATGTTTCAAACGAACTCCGTCTCAAAGCTAAAAAAGGAAAACTATCGATCAGATTTAGGTTGTTTTTTCTTTATAAGATCTAGTCAAGATCATAGAATAAATCTTATTTAATATTGCGTTCATTATCCAAAAACAAAAAAAAATTATCCATTTTGTTAGATTGGATAATTTTATTTAAAACGGATCATTTTTCTATCTATCCGATAACAATGTATAAGCCATTTAGTTATTCTTTGTTTTCTTTCACATGTAATGTGCATTAGTGTATTAGAAAAAACAAAAAGAAAATCATAATAAAAATAAATATGACTTTAAATCAGTTATAAAACATTTCTTTGGTCTTTTCGTCTCTCTGTTTTCTTCTTTTTTTGTGTTTCTTGAAAAACTTTATGTTGATCGATGATGATGATGATAATGTTGCCTTACGTTATCGTTCGTTCTACCTGTGTAAGCGAATTACACCAACAACCTCATAATCGGTATTTTTCTTCGTTCCGTTGCAAGAAGAAAACAAGAGAGAGAAAGAAAAAAAAAGCAAGCTTTCAATTATAAAGGAATAGATTCTTGATCATAAACACATATTCATGGGAACGGGTAGAAGTGCATCGTTACCGCCAGATCAAGTACAATTGATTTGTAGTGAAACAGGTAGATCTAAATATCATATCTTATATGATATTTTACTATTAAATTTATTTCATCTTAGGCTTTACGCCTAAACAACTTCGACGATTATATATTCGTTTTCAAGAACTTGCAAAAAAAGATCCAACATGTGAATATCTAACACGTGAAGATTTTTTAGATATACGTGAAGTTGCATTGAATCCATTAGGAGAACGTCTTGTTGATGTTATTGTACAAGATCATGGTTAGATTTTATCTGTTTTTTTTTTTAATATTATATTTCATAATATATTTCTATTTCGCATAGGTGACGCAAATCGAATCAATTTTCGACAATTTGCTAATGTACTTGCTCGATTTCGACGTGGCAAAGCGACAACTGATTTAAATACTAAAGAGAAAAAATTATTATTTTTATTTAGTGTTCGTTTTATTTATCTGATATTAACTGAGGAAAAAAATTTTTAATAATTTTTTGAATAGATATACGATCGTAATCATGATTCAAAAATTGATCGAAATGAATTATTGGGAATTCTAAAAATGATGGTAAGTAACATACTAACAAATACTGAAGTTTTAGTTTTTATTAAAAAGGTTGGTGGAAATATTCATGATGAACAAATCGCAACGATTGCTGATCATACTATTGCAGAATTGGTAAGCCGTTTCTTTTCTTCTAAATATTATATCATATCGTCTATGTTGGCTTATTTCTAGGATGCTGATGGTGATTTAACTATAACTTTCGAAGAATTTTGTGGAACATTAGCAAAAATTGATGTTGATGAAAAAATGTCGATGAAATTTTTAAATTAAATTTGTCTTCGAAAATTTTTCTTGTTCATTTTATTGATAAAACTAATGCACAATTTTCTTCTTAATAATAAAAATTTTAAAAAATAAAACTAATTATTTTATCGTTTTAATATGACTAATAAATTGATTAAAAAGCAAATCGAATTGAAGTAAAAAATAAATAGTTTGTATTCTAACGAGAAATGAAGAAAATTGACTTTTCTGCTTCAAAATTTTGTCCAATGAAACCCTTTGCAATGATTTAGATCGAGTAGAATGTTTGAGAATGTTCTATTCATGTTTAGATTTTTATTGATCAGATTGTAGAAGTCTGACAAAAAAAACATTATAAAATTACAAAAAAAGCTCGTTAGAACAACTGTGATTAACTTCTCTGAGAAGATCCTCTGATGATTTTAGACTTGCACCATTTATCATGGTTGTTACAGAAGCCTACGAATCATTTTTAATAAGAGATTTCTTCAAACTAAGAATTAACTATGCAATATTCTATATTTGAGTTATACCAGATTAGATGTACAATAATTTTTTTTTTCCAAAGTCTCATCGAGCCAGAATAATTTAATGTCGAAATTAATACATTATATTTTTATTTTAACGTTAGATAACTCCAGAAAATGATGAAAACTCTACCTCAATGAATAATAAATATTAATCGAGACTTTGTGATACCACAACATTGGAAAATATTTTATTAAAAATCCGTTCATAGCTCGATCTCATCTGATTTCTTGACAAATTTTGTTTCATTCTGTAAATAAGTTATTATCACCATATAATTACTCTTTGTAACTAAAGAATATTTCTAGATATCATTTAATGTCTTCCAAATTCTTTTTAAAACATATTCAATTGATAACATTTGATGTTCATAATGTTCTTCTAACAATACGAAATGGTGCTCCTTATCAATATGCTCGTTTAGCTCGTCAACATTTGGGTATTCAATCTATTGATGAATCTTTACTTCGATCAAATTTTATTCAAGCTTTTCGAACATTAAATATTACTCATCCAGGTTATGGTGTTAATACCAATATATCATCTCGTCAATGGTGGACATTAATAATTGAATATACATTTAAAGATTATCAATTATCATCATTGCAACTTGAAAAATTAAGTAAAATCATTTATGATGAATTTGCTAAAGGTGATATGTGGATAAAGCATTCACAAGCAGATTATGTTTTAAAAGAATTGAAAAAAAATAAAAAACTTGGGGTTATTTCAAACTTCGATGAACGCCTTGAATCACTTCTTGAACAACATAATCTTCGACAATATTTTCAATTTATTTTAACACCTCGAAATTGTGGATTATATAAACCACAAGAAGAAATTTTTTCTCATGCCGCAAATTTAGCAAATATTCAATCAAATAATAATCTATGTCATGTGGGTGATGATGTTAAACTTGATTATCGAGCAGCACAAGCAGCAAATTGTCATGTTTTATTACTTAGTAAAAATGAAGAATCAAAAAAAAATTTATTAAATGAACATAAAGATATTGATAGAAATCATGTTATTTTTAATCTTGACGAGTTATTAAATTTATTTATTTAGAAATCTATGAAAATTTAATTTAATAATAAAAATAGTGAATTAAACGGTTAAATTTCTATTCATAGATTAACATTTATAAAGAATGAAAAATTTACCAAAATGTTTCCGTATTTTTTCAATATGTCAATTTGATACAATTTGGTTTCGTAATCTAAGATTTGCGTTCATCCATTAAGCAAATCATCTAGTCTCACATTCGCGTATCATCAATGAACTGAATGAATACTAACATAAAGTTTGCATACGTACATAATTAATGACTTCATCGATTTGAGTTCCATCTGTAGAAAATTTGAAAAAAAAATCAACAAGTGCTGATAGAATTCTCATAAATATCTCACTTTAAAAATGTACTACATCTAATTGGTTAAATATTACCATTAGTGATGAGTGGAAGCGATTGCTTTTGACCCTTGCCAAGGAAAATATTGTGGTTCTGATTTCGCACTTAGTAACATATGTACTAGCGAAAAATGTTATATGATTTTCTAGCAGTGTCAATAAACTCGAGACGTTTCGCAGAACTTAGAATATCCTCCCTCTAGGATATTCATTACTTTGTTTTAATTCACTAATGCTTCGTCTATTCTTCCCGTTTAAATGTTTAACAATTCTATTATTGACCAGGGGCGTAGCCAAGGGATATGCACAGGATGCCCGGACACACTCCTTGGTCAAGAAACATCTGGAAGGGGATGCGGTTGAAAAATCTTTCCGAGCAACAAAAATTTATTTTGCTGCTGGTGTGCACCCTCCATAATAAATCGGGCAACTCCCTTAGAAAATTCCTGGCTACGCCACTGTTGTTGACAAAAAAACAAGAATTCATTTTATTACCAGATTGTAACAGAAAATATTCAAGCGATCGTTACTCAACAATTTTCGCATAAACGTTTTGAAGACGTGAGTCGTGACAATATGACATAAGTTTTACACGATCATAAAAGACATCACTCCCAATGAAAAAGTGTTAGTCTTGCTTCTGTCGAAAGTGATGTTCAACTAGGAAAAATTCTACGTTTATGATATGAAACAGATCACTTAAGAGTTTCAAAGTCAAGATTTATATTTTTAGATCGGCATTTATGCTTCTCAACCCATGTAAAGCATTACTTGTATTAAGATATATAATGTGGGTATGAGTGTACTAGTGTGCTTGACGAAAATATTCAAAGCCACAGCCACATCTATACCCACATTCCATCCTCTACAGTTATAGTTTCTGTTATAATATATAGAGTTTTATGACAATTTGTTGCCTACAATACCATGTGTGTACTAGTACGACCATTAGTATAGAGTTTTGAAGTCATCAATGTAGAGAGAATATAAGAAATGATGAACTTTTTCAAGTTGTACGTTGCTGTAATTTCGAACTTCAAAAGAAAAGTGAACTACAAAATGCTTCAGGACGAAAACGGAAATGCATGGATGACTATTATCAATGACGAAGAGCTAACAAATGTCGATAATGCAATTAATATTAAACTCAGATCATGTTTAAATTGACAGACAACAACAAATGATACTGATCGTGTTAAATTTTGAATGAATATTTTTTTTTTGCGCAAAAGTGATCTGCTTTTCTCATACAAAGTAATAATCGAAACAAATGTTTTTTTCAGTGATTTTTCTACTTCTTTCTCAAAGGTAGAATCATTGATTCGAGTACAAATTTTTTCAATATTGTATAAGTCGATACAATCATCGAACTGTTTCCGTTTTTTTTGCCAAAACAATGTTATCATATACAAACGACATCTAGTGATAATAAAAATTTCCATAAAATTTTCTTGTTCTAATATCAAATTTAAAAAATGAAAAATTTTCTTGAGTAAAATCTTTTAAAAATATTTGTTAATAGATTAAAAAAAAATTTCAACTCGATAGTTTGATCTCACTTGGTTAAAATGTTCATTGGTTAAATGACCATCAGCTCTTTCGTATGTAAAATAACATAAGAAATATTTTGTTTATTTGTTCTGTTGAATAGTGTAATTTTAAATTTAGTTTTGCTGTTTTTTGGAAAATTCAACTAAGAAAAATATTTCAATTTTTTAGATTTTTCTTTCCAGCAGAAAAACCAAGAAAAAATTATGTCGAACGAACATCTTGTTCTAAAAGGCGCTCTTGTTGGTCACAATGATTGGGTTACACAAATCGCAACAACACCTCAATTTCCCGACATTGTTCTCTCGTCATCACGTGATAAATCAATTATAATATGGCAATTAAATAATCAACATGATCCAACTGGTGAAACAACATCATGTGGTGCACCAAGTAAAGCATTACGTGGTCATTCACATTTCGTTTCCGATGTTGTTATATCAAGTGATGGTCTTTTTGCTGTTAGTGGTTCATGGGATGGATCACTTCGTCTTTGGGATTTATCAGTTGGCACAAGTACACGACAATTTGTTAGTCACAAAAAAGATGTTTTAAGTGTTGCTTTTTCGGCCGATAATCGACAAATTGTTAGTGGTAGTCGTGACAAAACAATTAAATTATGGAATACAGTTGGACAATGTAAAAAAAGAAAAAAATTAGATTTTTGAAATTAGAAAAAAAAACATTTGTTTTTCTTTTGAATTTAGGCAAATATACAATTGTTGATGATAATCACACTGATTGGGTTTCATGTGTACGTTTTAGTCCTAATCAAAAAGATCCACTTATTGTTTCAGCTGGGTGGGATAAAATTGTTAAAGTAAGATATGAAAACTTTTTAATAAGAAAATCTTATTTATTTTTAATTATTATGAAAGGTTTGGAATTTAACGAATTGCAAATTACGTACAAATCATTATGGTCATCATTCATATATCAATACTGTAACAGTATCACCTGATGGTTCATTATGTGCTAGTGGTGGTCGAGACGGTCAAGCTATGTTATGGGATCTTAATGATGGAAAACATTTATATACACTTGATAGTGGTGATATTATCAATGCTTTATGTTTTTCACCTAATCGATATTGGCTATGCGCAGGTATACAAGAATAAAAAAAAATTTCGAATATATTTATATAAAATTGAAATGATTTTTCTTTTAGCAAGTGGAACATCTATTAAAATATGGGATTTGGAAACGAAAACAGTCGCCGATGAAGTTAAATCCGAAAAACAATGTACATCATTGGCATGGTCAGCTGATGGTCAAACATTGTTTGCTGGTTTTACTGACAAACAAATTCGAGTATTCGAAGTCCGACAACGTTAAATTAAACAAAACGACAACAATAATAGAAGAAGAATATTTAACATTATTAATAATAATAATGTTGTTTTTCTATGATCGACTAACTTTTAATCTTCTTGTTTTTGTTGTCAAAATAAGAAAAAGAATAAGAAAATGATTTATATCCGTTATTAGTAAAATGGCTTCTGAAAATAATCTAACAAACGACTTCATTAGCCGAAATAAAACGAAAAAAATGTTATTTAATACATGCAATGTTTTTTTTCTATTGAAAAACATTTATCATGATTAAAACAAAATGTTTTTTAACATTAAATTCAAAAAAGAATAAAAGATCTACTAAGAAGAATACAACAATAGCGAGAAACAGATATTATTTATTTTAAATCTTTATGATATGATCTCATTTAGAAATTGAAAAGGTTCAGTTGTAATATGGCCAGTGGCGTAGCCAGGAATTTTCTAAGGGAGGTGCCCGACTCATTATGGAGGGTGCACACCAACAGAAAAATAAATTTTTGTTTCTCGGAAAGACTTTTCACCCATACCCCCTCCAGATGCTTCTTGGCCAAGAGGTATGCCCGGGCACCCTGTGCACACCCCTTGGCTACGTCCCTGAATATGGCTGCTTATTTGAAGCCATTAAATTTTAATCATAGTGAAATAAATAGCCATGGTAATAACTTACCATAACTTTGGTAGTTGAAAATTGTAATCGACTGACTTGCTGTTCTTAGTAATAATCATTCCTGTAAATCTTAAAAAAAACCAGACTTCTTAAAGACTAAACGTGAAAATTTAGATAATAAAACAATAAACGTTACACTCGTGTTCACACCTTAACCGATGAGACCTCATCGCTTTTTAATTTTTTCTATTTGATAATCATTTACAAAAAAAGTTCATATGCCACGGGCAGGACTCGAACCTGCGTTATCCGGACCACAACCGGATGTACTACCATTATACTACCGCGGCGA